CCACCACATCACTTCCCAAATGCATTCATTTGGTAACTACTCTGACACTAAAAAAGTTATTTCTAATGTCTCTATGGCTCATTTGGGCACTCAATTTATCTACCCTATCAATTATTTGCCTTTATCTACCTTATCAATACCTATGAGAATCTTGTATGAGGTGATCATGTCTACCATAACTCTTCTGTATTCCAGCGACGTGAGGCTTAGTTCCCATAGTCTCTCCTCATTCATCATTCCTCTCAGCTCGGGTACTAGTCTGGTGGCATACCTCTGAACCTTCTCCAGTTTGGTCTTATGCTTGGCGAAATACGGACTCCATGCTGGAGCTGCATGTGTGTATCTGCATGTATGTATGTGTATAGTTTTTACCGAAAGTGTAGTGGAAAAAGCAACAGAGGCAGGTAATAGGTTCATGAAGTGAGTGTAAACATGAGAGGCCATGAGAATACACACAGGAGGAGGCTCTGAGAGTATACACAAGAGGCCCCACGTGGCGAGTGAAGGAAGCTGAGTCTAACACACTAATGGCCAGTTCCCGGAGACCAATCAGGAGACAACCAGTTCCCGGAGACCAATCAGGAGACAACCGCCAGTCTCCAATAACACTGACCATGTGTTTTTTAACATTAAACGACGCCTATAGCATGTCTACTGACCCATATGTGACGGATTTCTTACCATTTTGGATTAAATTGACGTAATCCATTAAGAAGTAAACATATCGCTTAATAACTATATGGTGTGGCTCCACGTGTTATATGGTGTGGCTCAAGACGTTGGATTCATCATTGTACATTAAACGAGAGATAAAGAGAGAATGGGATATAAAGTAAAAATTGTTTAAGGATCGAAGACATATTTTGTGTCAGAATCATTTTTAGGAAATTATGAGAAGTACGGATTCCGGGAACGGCTTGGGTTATGGACGGTCCAATAATGTTAATATAGGTGGCGGAGGTAAGGGAGAGGAGGGAGGTGAGAGAGGGAGAGGGGGAAGGGAGGGGGAGAGAGTGAGAGAAAGGAGGTGTGGGAGGGGGAGAGAGTGAGAGAAAGGAAGTGTGGGAGGGAGGGAAGTGAGAGAGGGAGTGGGGAAGGGAAGTAATGGGAGAGAGAAAGATAAAAAAAAATGTGTTATCAGTGACGGAATCAGAGTACAGACTGCACCTCTCTGCCCGGAACCCTTCTTCCTCTGCCCGGAACCCTTCTTCCTCTGCCCGGAACCCTTCTTCATCTGCCCGGAACACTCTCCTTTTGTCCGGAACTCTTTCCTTCTGGCCGGAACACCCCCCCCCCTCCCCATCCCCCGCTAAAAGCTGCGCGCGCACATGTGTAGCGTCTTTCCATGGGGGCTTTCACCTGTCTTTTCCAATGGTAAAATATGGAGCGAGTTTCCCCCGGCCGTCGTAACTCTGCCGCACTCCTCACCTGTCTGTCCAGCCTCCCTCCTCCCTCTCATCCCACTCTCCCACCTCTTCCCTTTCTCTCTCCCCCCCCCCCTCTCCCATCTCCGTCTCACTGCCTCATCAATCCACAATGCTTTATGACCGACTTTCCGCTCTTCTGTTTCTATTATCTCCCTCCCTCCCGCTTTTCTTTCTCCCTCTCTCACCTTCCGTCTCTCCCCCTCATCCTCTCCCTCCACGCCATTCACTCCATCTTTCTGGTGTTGTCATTCCCTCTTTCTTGTTGTGTTGGTTATTGTGTTAATCGCCGCTACCTCCTCCTCCTTTTTCTTCTCCTTCTTCTCCTCCTGCTCCTCCTTCCTCCTTCCTCCTTCTCCTTCTCCTCCTCCTAAGAGTTCATCAATCATATTGTCATATATCTATATCATTAATTATTTAATGTTTTTCGTTTGTCTTTACTGCCCAATCACTTGGGCTGGACGGTAGAGCGACGGTCTAGCTTTCATGCAGGTCGGCGTTCAATCCCCGACCGTCCAACCCCATTCCTTCCTCCCGTCCCATCCCAAATCCTTATTCTGACTCCTTTCAAGTGCTAGATAGTCGTAATGGCTTGGGGCTTTCTCCTGATAAGTTGTATAATCTTTCTTCCATCAGTCTATCGTCAGTTCTTCTAGCTACTCATTAGTGCATTATGACTAATTGCCCTTCAGACACTCAAGAAGGAAACTTAAATAAGAAATAAGCAATAATTCTCTTGTGTGTTTCTTTGACTAAGTTCCCCAGGGAAAGGCTGAATGGTTTTGTTTGTTTGTTGTTGTTCGACGTGTGTGTGTGTGTGTGTGTGTGTGTGTGTGTGTGTGTGTGTGTGTGTGTGTACTCACCTATATGTACTCACCTATATGTGCTTGCAGGATCGAGCATTGACTCTTGGATCCCGCCTTTCGAGCATCGGTTGTTTACAGCAATGACTCCTGTCCCATTTCCCTATCATACCTGGTTTTAAAATTATGAATAGTATTTGCTTCCACAACCTGTTCCTGAAGTGCATTCCATTTCCCCACTACTCTCACGCTAAAAGAAAACTTCCTAACATCTCTGTGACTCATCTGAGTTTCAAGCTTCCATCCATGTCCTCTCGTTCTGTTACTATTCCGTGTGAACATTTCGTCTATGTCCACTCTGTCAATTCCTCTGAGTATCTTATACGTTCCTATCATGTCCCCCCTCTCCCTTCTTCTTTCTAGTGTCGTAAGGCACAGTTCCCTCAGGCGCTCTTCATACCCCATCCCTCGTAGCTCTGGGACGAGTCTCGTTGCAAACCTCTGAACCTTTTCCAGTTTCATTTTATGCTTCTTCAGATGGGGACTCCATGATGAGGCGGCATACTCTAAGACTGGCCTTACGTAGGCAGTGTAAAGCGCCCTAAATGCCTCCTTACTTAGGTTTCTGAATGATGTTCTAACTTTTGCCAGTGTAGAGTACGCTGCTGTCGTTATCCTATTAATATGTTCCTCAGGAGATAGGTTAGGTGTTACGTCCACCCCCAGGTCTCTTTCACGCGTCGTTACAGGTAGGCTGTTCCCCTTCATTGTGTACTGTCCCTTTGGTCTCCTATCTCCTAGTCCCATTTCCATAACTTTACATTTGCTCGTGTTGAATTCTAGTAGCCATTTCTCTGACCATCTCTGCAATCTGTTCAGGTCCTCTTGGAGGATCCTGCAATCCTCATCTGTCACAACTCTTCTCATCAACTTTGCATCATCCGCAAACATCGACATGTAGGACTCTACGCCTGTAAACATGTCGTTAACATATACAAGAAATAGAATTGGTCCCAGCACCGATCCTTGTGGTACTCCACTTGTTACTGTTCGCCAGTCCGACTTCTCGCCCCTTACCGTAACTCTTTGGCTCCTTCCTGTTAGGTAGTTCCTTATCCATTCTAGGACCTTTCCCCCCACCCCCGCCTGCCTCTCGAGCTTGAACAGCAGTCTCATGTGCGGTACTGTATCAAAGGCTTTTTTGGCTTTTTCTTGTGTGTGTGTGTGTGTGTGTGTGTGTGTGTGTGTGTGTGTTTACAATGTTTCTCTGATAACTTTTCATTTCATCATAAAACATTATATGTCGTTGTCATGTCTCATTTCTTCAACCAGTGTGGTGGGATCTTGTTCCCAGACTCTTGCCCAAATGCATTTGAACAGTTTTTATTTTATTTAAGTGTATTTGAACTGTCTTGTCTTATCTTAGTGTGTCTGAATAGTTTTGGTCTTAGGTCTTTTGTCTTACCCAAGTGTATTTGAACTGTTATTGTCTTACGTAAGTGCGTTAGCACTTCTGTCAAGTTAACGTCGATGCTAACGTTAAATTCACCGTTACGTTAGCCACTTCCACAGTAGCGGAGTTTTCAACAGTAGATTCAGGCTTCCAGAGTAGCGGAAGCCTGAATCGCACGGATTGAAATTCTTGCAAAATAACGCTGCAATCTACAAGTTGTCTTGAAATTTTCTTCCTTGAACGAGACAAAAGACGAATTGTTGTCCACGTGACCTGTTCCACGAGCAACAATATGCACGGGGAAGGGAAAAATACAGGTGCGCCTCTGCCCCGGCTGTGTATATCACGCCTTCTTCCACTCAGAGCTCACGAGGAGCGCGACGGTATGTGGAATTTGGAATATTTTTCGCTCTACGGTCAGGCATTTCCAGCGTCTTTGTTGAGTGTCGTGTTGCCCAGGGGCGACGCCTTGACACCGTGGGCGACGCCTTGACACCGTGGGGCGACGCCTTGACACCGTGGGCGACGCCTTGACACCGTGGGCGACGCCTTGACACCGTGGGGCGACGCCATGACACCGTGGGTGACGCCTTTACACTGTGGGCGACGCCTTTACACTGTGGGCGACGCCTTTACACCGTGGGTGACGCCTTCACACTGTGGGCGACGCCTTTACACTGTGGGGCGACGCCTTGACACCGTGGGCGACGCCTTTACACCGTGGGTGACGCCTTCACACTGTGGGCGACGCCTTGACACCGTGGGCGACGCCTTTACACCGTGGGTGACGCCTTCACACTGTGGGCGACGCCTTTACACCGTGGGTGACGCCTTTACATTGTGGGGTGACGCCTTCACACTGTGGGTGACGCCTTCACACCGTGGGTGACGCCTTCACACTGTGGGTGACGCCTGATATCATACGGACGAGCAGCTTACTTCCTGATATCATGAGTAAGGGAGCTGGACGAGTAGACGCCGTTATCATCCTCCTCCCCAACTCACACAATCTCCCTTACCTTCTGTTTCACCCTTATCACCGGTCCACTTGGAACTTTTTGTTCCAGGTAGCGAATCTTAAACAACAAGAAGCAACAAACAACCAACGCCAACCACACAACACAACCACGTCTCTTCCAACCACGGTTGCCAGCCACTGTTGCCACCGCTACTCATGGCTCTTATCCAATCTTTAAGCTACGATCCTGCCAACCGTGCTCTTAACTACCTACATTAAAACCCTCGCCAACTACTGTTTTCTCAACTATAAGCTGCTGTCTCGTGACTGTCGACCTGTCAGCCAAGTCTTATGTCATCCCTATGTCTGTCTGTCTGCCAACTTCGTCTCCTGCTATGTCTGTCTGCCTGGCTGCCATCCCCGCCTACAGAGAGCCCCGGGGCTGCCATCCCCGCCTCCAGAGAGCCCCGGGGCTGCCATCCCCGCCTCCAGAGAGCCCCTGGGCTGCCATCCCCGCCTCCAGAGAGCCCCGGGGCTGCCATCCCCGCCTCCAGAGAGCCCCGGGGCTGCCATCCCCGCCTCCAGAGAGCCCCGGGCTGCCATCCCCGCCTCCAGATAGCCCCGGGGCTGCCATCCCCGCCTCCAGAGAGCCCCGGGGCTGCCATCCCCGCCTCCAGAGAGCCCCGGGGCTGCCATCCCCGCCTCCAGAGAGCCCCGGGGCTGCCATCCCCGCCTCCAGAGCCCCGGGGCTGCCATCCCCGCCTCCAGAGAGCCCCTGGGCTGCCATCCCCGCCTCCAGAGAGCCCCGGGGCTGCCATCCCCGCCTCCAGAGAGCCCCGGGGCTGCCATCCCCGCCTCCAGAGAGCCCCGGGGCTGCCATCCCCGCCTCCAGAGAGCCCCGGGGCTGCCATCCCCGCCTCCAGAGAGCCCCGGGGCTGCCATCCCCGCCTCCAGAGCCCCGGGGCTGCCATCCCCGCCTCCAGAGAGCCCCGGGGCTGCCATCCCCGCCTCCAGAGAGCCCCGGGGCTGCCATCCCCGCCTCCAGAGAGCCCCGAGGCTGCCATCACCGCCTAGGGAGAGCCCCGGGGCTGCCATCCCCGCCTCCAGAGAGCCCCGGGGCTGCCATCCCCGCCTCCAGAGAGCCCCGTGGCTGCCATCACCGCCTAGGGAGAGCCCCGGGGCTGCCATCCCCGCCTCCAGAGAGCCCCGGGGCTGCCATCCCCGCCTCCAGAGAGCCCCGGGGCTGCCATCCCCGCCTCCAGAGAGCCCCGTGGCTGTCATCACCGCCTAGGGAGAGCCCCGGGGCTGCCATCGCCGCCTCCAGAGAGCCCCGTGGCTGCCATCCCCGCCTCCAGAGAGCCCCGGGGCTGCCATCCCCGCCTCCAGAGAGCCCCGGGGCTGCCATCCCTGCCTCCAGAGAGCCCCGGGGCTGCCATCACCGCCTAGGGAGAGCCCCGTGGCTGCCATCACCGCCTAGGGAGAGCCCCGGGGCTGCCATCCCCGCCTCCAGAGAGCTCCTGGGCTGCCATCCCCGCCTCCAGAGAGCCCCGGGGCTGCCATCCCCGCGGCTGCCATCACCGCCTAGGGAGAGCCCCGGGGCTGCCATCCCCGCCTCCAGAGAGCCCCGGGGCTGCCATCCCCGCCTCCAGAGAGCCCCGTGGCTGCCATCCCCGCCTCCAGAGAGCCCCGGGGCTGCCATCACCGCCTAGGGCAAGCCCCGGGGCTGCCATCCCCGCCTCCAGAGAGCCCCGGGGCTGCCATCCCAGCCTCCAGAGAGCCCCGGGGCTGCCATCACCGCCTAGGGCGAGCCCCGGGGCTGCCATCCCCGCCTCCAGAGCCCCGGGGCTGCCATCCCCGCCTCCAGAGCCCCGGGGCTGCCATCACCGCCTAGGGAGAGCCCCGGGGTAACTCGCACAAAGCCTTTCATGTTCAGCCATAAATCTTTACAAGGTCCGTCTATCGTCTCCTCCCATTATTCTCCTTTTTTATTAAGTGTTTCCTTCTTCCTTTTATCTGTACCATTCCCGCTATTTGCTCCCACACCCTTCTAGTTTCTCTCTCTTATTCCTGCTCAGATTATCCTTTAGTCTACACCTCAAGTTTTTACTCCTGGCCTATTCCTGCTGTTTCTATCTGTTTCCTGTTGTTTCTGTCTGTTTCTATCTGTTTCCTGCTGTTTCTATCTGTTTCCTGTTGTTTCTATCTGTTTCCTGTTGTTTCTATCTGTTTCCTGTTGTTTCTATCTGTTTCCTGCTGTTTCTATCTGTTCCTCCTGTTTCTATCTGTTTCCTGCTGTTTCAATCTGTTTCCTGTTGTTTCTTTTCCTTTCTCTTCCTTCCTTCCTTCTTTTCTATGCCAGCATTCCTTCTCTTTCGTTCCTGTGTGTTTCTCTCACTTCTGTTCTTGTAATTTTTATTGTTCATAAATTATTATTATTGTCTTATTTATTACTATAATTTTATTATTTTATTTTTTATTATACATAAAGTATAGGATAATAAGCTGTAAGTATCTCAAGCTAAGAATTATTATCATTAGAATATTTTATCATTAAATATTAACTTTATTTAAAGCTAAGTTACTATCATGTAAGGTACAGGAAGAACCAGGAGCATAATATCAGAATATTCAGACGGTCGCTTGACTTATCTCACGAATATTTACTCGTTCATAGAACAAGTTCCACAGGCAGCATGAGGGTGTTGATAGCTGAGCGTCTTGTGTTGTTGCTGCCACTCTCCAAGCCATCTTGGAGAGTGGTTCACATTCAAGATGACAGATAACTTTATATAAAATTTTGAAACTACTGCTGTCGAGAAGGTAAAAGATTATCCTCAGTGTCATAAGCTTTCAACCTTCCTGGCTGGCTAGGTTTGGCGCCATGACTTTTGTTGGTCACTGTAGAATCAAACGTCACCCCCCCCCCTCAAGATATCGAATTCTACAGTGAGCACAATTTGTTGCCCACCCACCTGCAAGTCATGCAGATGCTGGTCGCAATATTACGCTATCTGGATATCCTCATTACTTGTTTCCTCAGCCAATAAAGTGACCTAGCCATAGCCTACTGTAGGTAGAGATTGATAGCTGAGATGATTAATGATTCTCTTATCAGTTGGAACTTTCTCTCATGTGCATGTTAGACTTAGAGAAAAGTTATCACTATAAGCTTGACTGAAGTCATCATTATAACCTTGACTGAAGTCATCACTATATGCTTGACTGAAGTCATCACTATAACCTTGACTGAAGTCATCACTATAAGCTTGACTGAGCTTCAGGGATGACGACACAGCTAGAGACAAAAGCAAAAACAACTACATGAAATCAAATACTTTATACATTAATGGTTGTACATTTATAATTGAGTTTACACAAAAAATTAGTAGATCATTTACATAAGAGAAATTTATAATATAACTCGTATTAATTAGAATTATATTCTGCAAAATACAGATTTAGATTTATATGTTGGAGGATTATTTGTCAGTGATTTGTTCAAATCTTTAGAGTAGGGGCAGGAGTGAACAGTTGCTGCTAGAGTGAACAGGTGAACAGTTGTTGCTAGAGTCAACATGTGAACAGTTGTTGCTAGAGTGAACAGGTGAACAGTTGCTGCTAGAGTGAACAGGTGAACAGTTGTTGCTAGAGTGAACAGGTGAACAGTTGTTGCTAGAGTCAACATGTGAACAGTTGCTGCTAGAGTGAACAGGTGAACAGTTGCTGCTAGAGTGAACAGGTGAACAGTTGCTGCTAGAGTGAACAGGTGAACAGTTGTTGCTAGAGTGAACAGGTGAACAGTTGCTGCTAGAGTGAACAGGTGAACAGTTGCTGCTAGAGTGAACAGGTGAACAGTTGCTGCTAGAGTGAACAGGTGAACAGTTGCTGCTAGAGTGAACAGGTGAACAGTTGCTGCTAGCGTGAACAGGTGAACAGTTGCTGCTAGAGTGAACAGGTGAACAGTTGCTGCTAGCGTGAACAGGTAAACAGCCGTTATAAAAAATACAGCTTGCAATTAGAGTGGCGAGACACACATTGGAAAACATATATATGTTTTATAAAATTAGATATAGCTATATCAATAAATTAAAATGTGTCTGTTCCTTTGTTCGACGCTTGGGGGCTAGACTCAGAAAATTTTTAACAGGAGAGAGAGAGAGAGAGAGAGAGAGAGAGAGAGAGAGAGAGAGAGAGAGAGAGAGAGAGAGAGAGAGAGAGAGAGAGAGAGATAGATATATATATATATATATATATATATATATATATATATATATATATATATATATATATATATATATATATATATATATATATATATATATATATATATATATATATTAGTATATTTTGGTAGCAGTCTTTCCTGTAGACATATATTATTAAATATGACCGAAAAAGTAAGATTAATAATTCTAACACGAATTTTCTCTATCTTTCGTACATTTCTTTTCACTGTTGGTGGTAATTCAAAAATCAATTCTCCAAAATTCATTTTTATTTCTAGGTTGACGCGACACTTGAGCGCGTTTCGTAAAACTTATTACATTTTCAAAGACTTTAGCTTACACATACACAACTGAATAGAACTTACACATCTCCGATTTGTTTATATCTACATTTTGAGTGAGGTGGATGGGGTGAGGTGGCATTAATAGGGTATTAATTTCATCAACACAAGACAGAACACGAAACAATGGGTATTGAATGGAAGTGATTGTAGAAAGCCTATTGGTCCATATTTCTTGATGCTTCTATATTGGAGCGGAGTCTTGAGGTGGGTAGAATATAGTTGTGCATTAATTGGCTGTTGATTGCTGGTGTTGACTTTTTAATGTGTAGTGCCTCGCAAACGTCAAGCCGCCTGCTATCGCTGTATCTATCGATGATTTCTGTGTTGTTTACTAGAATTTCTCTGGCGATGGTTTGGTTGTGGGAAGAGATTATATGTTCCTTAATGGAGCCCTGTTGCTTATGCATCGTTAAACGCCTAGAAAGAGATGTTGTTGTCTTGCCTATATACTGGGTTTTTTGGAGCTTACAGTCCCCAAGAGGGCATTTGAAGGCATAGACGACGTTGGTCTCTTTTAAAGCGTTCTGCTTTGTGTCTGGAGAGTTTCTCAAGAGTAGGCTGGCCGTTTTTCTGGTTTTATAGTAAATCGTCAGTTGTATCCTCTGATTTTTGTCTGTAGGGATAACGTTTCTATTAACAATATCTTTCAGGACCCTTTCCTCCGTTTTATGAGCTGTGGAAAAGAAGTTCCTGTAAAATAGTCTAATAGGGGGTATAGGTGTTGTGTTAGTTGTCTCTTCAATATACGAAAGATAGAGAAAATTCGTGTTAGAATTATTAATCTTACTTTTTCGGTCATATTTAATAATATATATATATATATATATATATATATATATATATATATATATATATATATATATATTATATATATATATGTTTTGCTTCACTAAAGGTACTCATGAAAGTAGTTCCTTCTTGAAGGGAGCCGTTTATTAGTGGTAGCAGTTAGGCTGAGATTCCAAGTGCTTGAAGCCTTGAGAGCAGTAGTCAACGAAGGCCATCACACCTTGTCAAGGGCACCTGCATGATCCACAGCAGCAACAACAACACAGTTGATCTTGGTTTCATCCAGTGACTGACGCCACATACTGGAGAGCCTCGACTAGTGAGCCCAAACAGAGCGGCCACTCCTGGCGAGACCTCTACTGGCGACCACTGGCTAACACACGATGGAACTATGTCTAATCATATCAACATATGGATAATGGCTGAGTAATATGAACAAATATGTCTAATCCATTATGTTCTTTCTATATTTCCCTCCTCACATTCTATCTCCCTTCAATCGTTGATTTCCTTCATCCTCTATTCCTCTTTTCTCTCTCTTCTTAATCTCCCTTACTCATTTCTACGCTCCACTATATTATTTCCCATCATATCCCCGACTCTCCATCCACCCCCCTCCCCCCCCCCAATGCCCTTCTCCCTCCCCTCCCCTTCCTTCCCCTCCATCTCCCTCCTCCTGGTTCTCCACTTTAGACCTCCATTTAACCGTGATAGAAAACACTTTGAGAATGGGTCCTCCACCCCCCCCCCTTCCTTCTTCCTCCTCCTCACCTCTTATACGATAATTACCAAATTAACCTGGTTGGGGTGAGACAGGTAACCTGCTGTACCCCCCTTCACCCCTCCCACACTCCACTACCCTCCCCCCCGCCCCCTCCCACACTCCACTACCCTCCCCCGCCCCCTCCCACACTCCACTACCCTCCCCCCCCGCCCCCTTCCACACTCCACTACCCTCCCCCGCCCCCTCCCACACTCCACTACCCTCCCTCACCCCTCCCACACTCCACTGCCCTCCCTCACCCCATCCCACACCCCTCCCTCACCCCCCCCTCCCACACTCCACTACCCTCCATCACCCCCTCCCACTCTCCACTACCCTCCCTCAACCCCCCCTCCCCGCCTCAGTCCCCCTACGATTAGTTAATTAAATTATTTAACAATGGTTACCGTAATTCGTGCTTGATGTGGCAATTATGTCAGGTGAAGGTGAGTGGTGGTACCTGGTGATGGTGATGGTGAAGGTGAGTGGTGGTACCTGGTGAAGCTGAAGATGAGTGGTGGTACCTGGTGATGATGAAGGTGAGTGATGGTACCTGGTGATGGTGAAGGTGAGTGCTGGTACGTGGT